CAATATAAATCTATAGACACTTTAAAAAAAAATTTTTTAAGTAAATTTAAAATTATTATTTTTTAATTTTTAGTAAATTCAATATTATAAACTTTAAAATAATCTCATATTAGCAGTATTTGCAAATATAAAAAACATAATAATTATTATATTTATAGTTTTAAAGCAACAACAAAAAATCATATATTAAATAATACCTTTTGGGGTTTACATGAAAATTGTTTTGTTTTTTTCCAGCTATAATGGCATGACTTTAACTAATAATACATATTTGTAATGTTTCTATAATACTATTAGTTTTATAATAATTTTTAAAACATTAGAAATTGAATTATTTTGTTTTTTTCGTTTATTTTATTAATAATTAATATTTCATTTGTTTTTTAACTCTCTCTCTCTCTCTCTCTCTCTCTCTCTCTCTCTCTCTCTCTCTTTCTTTCTTTCTTTATATTTATCTATTTCTATATCTCTCTCTAAATTTATTCAATTTTTGAAATATTATTTCAAATAGTTTTATATGCATCTAAATATTATAGTTTGTTGGCTCTAAAAAACTAAGTAATAATTTATTATTTTATTTTCGAAAATTTATGAAAATTACAACTTTTTTGTTGTACTTTATATATATATACAGTATATATATATATATATATATATATATATATATATATATATATATATATATATATATATATATACAACTGTACTGTATATGAACTTAATGGTATTTTATATATATAGATAGTATAGGTGATATAACTGTAAACAACTTTATAATTTTATAAGTATAATTTATAAAAATTTAGTTTTTTTATTTTATTAAATAATAATAATAATAAAAATACTCGAAGCTAATAAATAAATTATTATAGGAAAAATTTGTGTGCATATATTTACCTTTAAAAAAATTATTATTAGTATTAGTATATATATATTGAACTTTTTTTTATTTATCATTGAATATATAGTATTATGTTTTATTATTTATAAGTAATATCGTGTATTTTATGCATAAATATTTTTTTGTATTTATATGTATATATAGTATGTATATCTAATATTTGTTTTATTATTTTATTTATTTATTTATTTATTAAGTTATTTATTTTTATCTTGTTGAAACAAATCAATAATTTTTAAATAACATATCAAAACTTACTGTAATTATATATTATTTTCATTTTTATTTATACTGATTTAGTGATATTTTATTAACAGGTGAATAATAGTAGTAATATACGGTATATAAAATATTTTTAAATAAAAATCTATTATTATAAAGGATAGACTTTTTTTATCTGTACATTAAGTTACATCCGTTTTGCTATAGATTTGCCATATATTTAATGAAAATTTATTTTTTTATACTTAATATTATATATATATACATATACTCTGTATTTACCTCACAGTACTCTATATGTATATTAGACTTATGTTTTCAGTCAACAACAAAAAATATCTTATTTTATTATTGACACAAAAAAATATTTCCACACTTTTTTGTTGTTGTGTCGGAGAAATTAACACATTTTTATGCATAATATGTATATATATATATATATTGTATAATACATATTATATAAAAAATTATATAATGAAATTGAATTTATCGTTTAAATATATATATATATATATATATGTGTTTTTAATGCAAATAAATTATACGCCATATATATATATATAACTAACCGGAAAAGTCATTTAAACAAATAAATGATTCAATCGTTTTCTTATATAATTTCATAGTATTTTATTTTTTTTCTCTTTTTTATATATATATAGTTTAGTATTTAATTTAAAGATCTATTTATACAGTATTTTCTTTATTTATATATAAAAAAAATTCAGTTGTTTTTGTTATTCAACAAAAATAAAACAGATAATAAAATAAAGTAAAAGTAAAAATAATAAATAAAACAAAGAGATAAATAGATATACAGTAATAATAAAAGTGAAAATAAATAATGATTAAAACAATTTAGATACAGTTATTATAATTATTATTAAATATATATTTTTTTGTTGCTCAATGGCACTGTATTTATTTTATTAAAAAAAACATAACTACAAATTATTATTATTATTTAATTAATTAATTAGTTTTGTTAAATTGTTTTTTTTAATATTTTTCTTCAAAATATTAAATCCAACAATTAAAACGGTTAGTCGCCATCATTGGTTGGTTTCTCTCAACTATATAACCCATTAAAAAGCAGCACAAGTATGTTGTGACAGTCAATTGATAGGTATGTTATTATTATTTTTTTTATAAATAGTCACTAATAATAAGTATCCCTGAGGTCTGCAAAGATGATGCACTAATTGTAATAATTGTAAAGTTTTTTTATATATAAATGTTATGGTCAATGATTTTTTTGGTTGTTGTTGTTGCTGATGATGGTGTTGTTGTTGTTGTTGATGATGGTGTGTATGTATGTATGGATAGAGATGAGGTGTCGGCCCAAACAAACGGCTTTGCACACACCTATTGATAGGTTGTTTGATGAGATAATATGGTTGTACAGTAAGTGTGTGTGTGTGTGTGTGTGTGGTGTGGTGTCAATATTGATGTGCTGTCTCATTTATATATCATATATATATAAATATTTTCAATGTATTAGATAACAAAAAACTTATAATTTATTTATCGCTTATGCCAACAATATATATATATATATATATATATAATAGATATACTGTATATACAAAATTGTATATAATATAACTCTATGTGCATAACAATTGCTAATTCAGATCAATATTATTATTATTATTATTATTATTATCATTATGTGTTATGCTATATATTACAGTAAAAAGTGTTTTTTTCTTCTAGTGTACAAATAGTTTGATATAATTTATATATACATTATATAGAGCTAATATTTTTTTTATACAAAATTCAATGAAAATTTGTTTCATAGACCATTGAAACATTATATACATTATGTACTCTCTTTCTTTCTTTCTTTCTTTCTCTCTCTCTCTCTCTCTCTCTCTCTCTCTCTCTTAAACATACACTTAATCATCCACTCACTTACTCACTCGATATAAAACTTATGGCTAGAAGTTATATATATCTATATATTTATGGTATATATTTGTGGATTTTATTGCAATGTAAAGCTTCATTAGAGAGAGAGAGAGAGAGAGAGAGAGAGAGAGAGAGAGAGAGAGAGAGAGAGAGAGAGAGAGAGAGAGCTGACAGTCCTGTATATAGAGTACAGTATTGTATTAATCTATAGGAACGACACCATTATTTTTCTTGTGATACATATATGTTTGTGTTTATGTGTTTGTGTGATGTCAAGTATTAATGTTAAAAAAGATATACTATATATATATATATTGGTAAACTTATATCAAATAATTTACCTCAAGTGTATATACTGTAAATTAAACGTTTCAAAATGTTTGTGATTTTTTTTGAATGACTTATTTTGCAACATAATTAATAATAAACAATAAAATTGATTTAAAATTTATATATTTTTAGGCGCTTGTATCTTAAATTTATACAATCAAATTGTTTAATATCTCCAATAATTATAATATAATTTTATTTTAACTAAATTGTGTCAAATATTTGTACAATTTTGGTCTAAAAACAATTTATAATAATAATAATTATTATATTTAAATAAAACAAAATGATTTTCTTATATTTATATAACAATACTTTACACTCATACAGAATATTCTGTGTATTTTAAAAAATTAATTAAATTAATGAATTTGAAAAGATTTTACAAATAACTTTTAATTTTATTTTTAGCACTTTATTATTAAATTTATTGATGATCTCTCTAATAGTTGCTTACATATATAGTAACAACAACAACAACAAAAATAATAATAATAATAATAAACTGTAGTAACGGTCCTATTTTGGTGATGTCTTTTATCAATGAGATGGATGTGCTCTCTCACGAGGGAAATCATTGCCACACATACACACACACACACACATCGATGATTTAGCTGAAAGTCAATACTACTTGGCTATCCCCTCTCTCTCTCTCCCACTCTCTTTCGATCCCTGGCCCCCAAAGGCAACACCAATCTTTCATAGATGTTCACACACACACACATACCATACCATCTGATTCATCTGTATGTGTGCTAAATATAACTGTGTGTATGTCTTCATCACAAAATAATGTCTATTTTATTGTTTCGCCGGTTTGGATACATAAGCACACAGTGCTATACACACACACATATAGCTATAGCTATACACACACTCGTGGCTAAAGTGATGAGGTGATAAAGACGTGCCAAAACATACCAGTGCTCATCTCTTTATGTATGTGTGTATGTTTATGTCTAACCAGAGTCCATACACATACACACACACACTAGTATGATACTAATCCAACACATTTTTATCGTTTACTTATTTTTAATGTCATTTATTTTGGTCTCACATTTTTATTTTATTTATAATATTTTTTTGTGGGTCACAAATATGCACATAAAACACATATATGACATATGTAATAACATATGTATGGATATTATTATTATTATTATTATTAAATGGTGTGTCCAAACAAAGTGAGAGAGAGCACAGTGATTTTAATACAATTTATTTCTATACATGTAATGGGATTGTAGTTTGAAGTCACACACATATATATATATTGTATAAATTTATATATAATATATATATATATTGTATATAATACGGTATATCACACACACATGGGTTAAATCTCATGTGCTAACAGTTTATTTTAGGTGATTTTTTTCTAGCGCCCAATATATTATGTTTTCCTAATAAATTTATGGTGTTTTTTTAGTATCATATTTATAGTCATCACAATTTAGACGTTTTATAGTTTAATAAAAACTATATATATGTAGTATATATATATATATATATGTATGTAGTTTTGTGTCCTCTCTTTATAGTCATAAAAATAATATATATTTATTATTATATGCTATTTATATATAATATATTATATATAAATATGAATTGTGGTGTATGTGTGTGTGTTTTTTTTCATGTGTTGCTATTATGATGCCTGAGTGCCATCCAAGTGCTTATAAGAGACAAACTCCAGGCCAACCATACCGTCCAAACGCTATTTATTTTGGCTATCGATGAGGCTGTGCCGCGCACTGTTAGGTTAGGATTGGTTAGAAAAATAATTATTATTAATATTTAAAAAAAATAAATTAGATGCAAAACAAGCATAATAATAAATAAAATGAAAGTTTTGTCAAAAAATATTTAAATGATATTTAAAGATTATTTTAACGGAAAAAATAAATTTTAAAAATATAAAGAAAATTATTTTTTTTGTATTTACAATATATATATATATAATTTGAAAATTGAATTTACAGTCTATTTTATCACTTGTCTATTCACAAACAAAATACTTTTTAAAATCCTATATCACATTATTTACATAAAATTATTATTATTATTATTATTACAATTTATTTATAAAATTATTATATGATTTAATTTTGTTGAATGAGAATAATAATAATAATAATACTAATATAAAAAACGTTTCTCATAAGGGATTTCTGTATATATATATATATATTTATATACAAATATATATAAATAAATAAATATATGTATACAGAGTTCGTGATCTTTTTCGAGCACTAAAAAATCAATTGCATTATATTATACACTATTTATTATATATATATATATATTTGAAGAGTGAGATTCAATTCCCAGAATATTCTTTTACATTATTGCTATTGTGTTCAATGTCTTCAATCACTACACAATATTTTCTGTATGTATTTGTTATACTACTATATACAGTATATTGAATATATTGTATATATATATATATATATACAATATATTGTTATTTTTCAGTATTTCAATTCAATTGTAAACAAGTGGTGTATAAATATACTGTGTATTTATACTGCAACACATACGGTATATGTATATACATATACTATAGGTATACCAATATATGTAGGTTTATTTCTCTGTGTATTTTGTTTATGTTTGTTTGTTTGTCTAAACAAACAGATAGGTCATTCATCACATAAACACACACACACACATACCCTGTCCGAGTCCCAGTGGCCCGACATTCAGCGATCCCGAGGCCTTATAATCAGCGGAAGTGCCAAACGCTTCATCGCTCATAGTATACATTCGCGATATGGTTGCCATACATTTGAACCGTATGTTAGCATTTTTGAAGTGCTATTATGAAGAAGTGTGGGTTTTTTTTTATATATTCATATCAATAATAATTATGAAAACAAATATATATTAATATATAAATAAAACTATTTATATACAAACCTTTTCGTTGGCTATAAACTTAAGACTCAGACTACTAGTCTCGAGTCCATCTGAATGAAGTGTTGTCGAGTATATTGTCTCGTATTCACTGCCAATCTGTTTATCAAATAATTTTTTGTATAAATAAATATTTATGATTTAAATCTTTTTTTTAAATGAGAAATTTTAATGATAACATTTTTATTGAGACACTTACCTCTTGATCATTAATATACCTGATATTATGATTAAAAACATTAATAATAATAATATCAGTCACCAAATGATATCCAAGTTTTGTTGGTTTGAAATAGAATATAAAAAAATAAATAAATTTATTACAATAACAATAGATATACAATATATATATAAAGTGTGTGTAAAGTGTCTGAAAGTTAATAAAAATTGGTAATCAAAGTAAAAGGACTACTATTACTACTACAACAACAACTACTACTACTATTACTCACCACTTTAATGACGCCGACGGCTTACTCTTAGCTGAAGTGCAATTCAATGATACTATAAAATTGATAGACACATAATTAGTAGGTGTGTGTATGTGTATGTGTATGTGTATGTGTATGTGTATGTGTATGTGTATGTGTATGTGTATGTGTATGTGTATGTGTATGTGTATGTGTATGTGTATGTGTATGTGTATGTGTATGTGTATGTGTATGTGTATGTGTATGTGTATGTGTATGTGTATGTGTATGTGTAATTGGGATAATAAATTACAATTAGAAATTTCCATAGAAATTTTCCCTAAATAAACTTTTACTGTTTTTTTTAATGAAAACAAAATAATATTTTCCCCAATAAATGTTGTTTTAATGAATTTATTTAATTAGAATATATATATATATATATTTTAAAACTTTTTAAATTTCCATTATTTTTTTAAAATTATTAATATCTTATAAATTTGGAAAAATCATTATTAGAGAAATTTTCTCGAAACGTTTCGCATTCAATTTCTGTGGGGAAAAATAGTCAAACACTATATCGGTTTATATATAAATTTATACAATAATAATAAAAGCGTTTAATATATTGTATCTTATATTAAGGTATACACTATGTTGTAACTCAACATTACTTTTTTCTTTATATATATCTATACTGTATATAATACCTATAAATAGTGATATAAATTCAGTGTTTAGTTGTATTACTTTTCTTTTAACACACAAAATAAGGTGTCTGTGAAAATAAAAACTGTCTTTCAATACATATTACACAATGTATAATAACACTGTCTATATGTGCTCTCAATGTGTTGGTCAGGGATGTCTGGGTATGACTTAGAAAGATAAAGTGAGAGAGAGAGGAAAGAGAGAGAGAGAGAGAGAGAGAGAGAGAGAGAGAGAGAGAGAGAGAGAGAGAGAGAGAGGATAAACATAATGATTGGCCACAAAAATACTGTAATAAAAATAATAATAAAAAAGAGGTTTCAATTTATGTAAAGAGCTATACATTTAAAACATAATGTTTTTTATTAGTTTTTTGTCTGTCATTACAGAATATTCTGTATGTGTGTGTGTTTTTTGTCAACAAAATGACTATAAAAGTAATAAATATATATATAAACTAATATTTTTTATAGAAATTTATTTTTTTTCATACAAAACATACAATTTTTGTTTTTTTTTGTATAAAATTGTTAAATGTTTTATATATACATTTTCTTTTTTTAAAAAAACCTAACTGTGCTATCAATAGACATACCTATTTGTCCCAATTTATACTTGGATTGTATGCCAGTAATTGATGGTCCTTGTGATGGCAATACTATATTATATAAAAAAACAATGTTTTAATTTATTATAACTTTATTATTATTTTATTTTTAGATTTATAAATAATTAATTAATATTAGAGTATTATAAATAACTTTTTTGTTTTGTTTTTATTATAATATAAAAATAAGTAAAATATATATTATATTATATGTCTTTTTAAATGAAATTTAAATCACATTCGTTTGAGATCTTAATTAATCAAACAAAACAAAAAAATAATAGTAAATTATTATTATTACAGTAAAAATTTGTTTTCAAAAAGCAAATACTAAAATACTAAACAAAATTTTTCCTGAAAAATTAATGAACAAAAAACATTAATCATTCAAAATATGAGAGATTTATTACTTTGCATAATAAACACTAATATATATACTGTATATACTGTATATTAAGAGCAATATTTTATGACTTAATAAAATAAAATTATATATTTTATATATATATATTTATATTCAAAGTATAAAAGATTAGCGTTTTTTGTTGTTGTTGTTATTATTGTTATTTTAAATGACATTTTTGTTACATATTTTCAATTCAAATGATATTAATTGTCTTTAATTATATGACAAACAATTAGAATTAGTATAATTTTTTTTTTTGTTATTAGCTTTTATTTCATTAATTTTATACTAATTGTCTCTAAAGTTTTATGTCTCTTACATATAGATAAATAACAATAAAATTGATAATAAATTTTAACAAATGGATAATAAAAAAAACATTGATTTTTGTTTTGTTTAATTAGTTAAATTATTTTTATTAGATACAAATATATAAGTTGAAGTGTAATAAATAAGTTTCAATATGTTTGCTAAACTTGATTATCATATAATACTGTATATATATATATATATATATATATATATAACTAATTTTCAAATAAACTTTTCAATTATTATGTTAATAAAAAAAATCAAAACGAAATTATCGTTTGATTTTTTTTGCTGTTAAAAGATTTTATACAAATCATTTGGAAACTATTTTTGACAACAAATATATATATAATATTATATATATATATCGATACAAAATCCTTTATGCATTGTTGTCAATGATAAGACAATATATATATAAGAGATTATTTGAATCACTGACTCGTAAACCCAATGATATTTTTGATGTCATTTTTGGTTGTGAATCCAAAAACAATATATATTGAATCAAATGATAACTATTTCATCGTTCAAATTATCACATAATAATAATAATAATCGTTTTTATGTATGTTTTTCTCTGATTAATATGTCATTAATATGCAATTCAGACTTATATTATCATTATTATTAGGAAATGTTATATAATATTATTAGATTTTATGATATTATATTCAAATTTATTTATATTTATAACTAAAGTATTTTATTTATTGCTGTATAATAAAGTTCTTACTATAAAAAACTATAATAAATACAAAATAACAAAAAAATTGGCTATAATTTTAATAAAAGTGAATATAATAGATAACATAATTATAATATTACTATTACTATAAGTAAGTATTAATACAATAAAACAGTATTTTATGAATATATATATACAGTATATCTATAGATATCTATTGTTATACTGTAAGTAAATACTTATATATAAATATAAATTATATGTCAATAATTAAATTACAATTTTGTTACTAATATATACAGTATTATATTTACTCAACAATACACGTTTAAACATTAATATTTATTAATAAAGTATATAAAAGTGATACTATCATATTAACAAAAAAAAGTCTACATAGATATATGCAAAACACTAATAAACGATTAAAAAAAATTACAATTATATTAAATCTATATTATATAAACATAAGTCATTATTATATTAAGTTGTTTTAAAATAGTTTTTTATTATTTTTTATTATTAAGTGTTTAATGCCTACAAATAGAAAGAGAGAGAGAGAGAGAGAGAGAGAGAGAGAGAGAGAGAGAGAGAGAGCTTTTTTCTTTCAATAGAAAAAATAATAGTTAATTGTCTGTAATTTTTCATATTATATATATTTATAAAGGCGTTTATAAATTTTTTTTTTTGTGTGCTATTATTTCACACACATATACACTTGAAAAACACTTATTCATTAAAAGAATAGTATCTTTTTTATTATTATTACTATTTTTTGTGTGTAAAAAATTTGTGATTCAATTATTCATTTTTTGCTTATATCTGTTTTAATTCAATGACAAAAAAAACTGTTTAAATATTACATTAAACATATGTGTGTGTAATGTTTACATTTGAGTGAACAAAAGATTTTACTTTTTTTGTTGTATTTAATTCATTGTATAATTTTTTTTATATTTTATTTTTTCATTACTATTTTCATAATAATAATAATAATAATAATAATAACTTAATTACACAAATACACAGAGATTTGTATGTATGTGTGTCTATAATACCGTGTAATACCCTTATTCGCACATACAGTACATTACATTAGAAATTATAATTATTAGACAAAAACAAACTTTTAGATCAAATACTCTGTATATACTGTAAAAATTTGTTTGCTATTATATAACTAAAATATTACACTATTTTCACAATATATTTAAACATATTTACATATCTATTATAGATTGTATGTCTCTTTTTGTTATATATTTTATTTGCTAATTAGTTTTGTTATAAAATATTTTTCTATTTCTTTGATTTTTCAATAAAATAAAACAACAAATACTAGTTGTTTTAGATTTATAATAATAATAAAAATAATTTTTGTGTAAACTATAAAATCAAAATTCAATTTATATCAAAACAAAATTTTTATTATTTATATGTCGTCTTTTGTGTCTCAAATAACACATATACAGCATATACTGTATATAAATATATAGTATATTACAGTATATTATAAGTTATATAGAAATTTTTGCATTCATTATCCACTAATTAGTACAGATGTGAACAATTAAATTAATTTGTTATATAATTTATGTGTGCTTTATATTAGATATATATATATACTGTAAGGTATAAAACAAGTACACATAATAATTAATTTTAACAACAAATAAATTTATATATATTTGTAAAAATTACAAAATCATTAGTACTTTATTAAATAACATCTCATTCAATGTGTATGTATAGTGTGTGTGTGTGTGTGTGTGTTAGAGTAAATTAAAAAAATTTAGTTTTATTAAATATATATAATTATATTTAATATATTTTAATTAGATTTGATTAAAGTCACAAACAATACACAATAGACTTAGAATGACATAAAAATTTCATATTTTAAATAAATAAATAAATGAAAAAAATATTTAGTAAATGAAAAATGACTTATTATTATTGTGTGACATAACTTTTTAATTGCTTTTATGTAATAAATTATTATTTTTTATTTTTTTGCTCAATAAATTCATTAATCAATTTGTTGCCTAAAAAATAAATATAATCCTAACTAATCAAAACAATGCAATCTCAACATTTATTTTTTATATTATTTTTTAATGTAGTTTAATAATAATATAGTATATATTTATTTAATGTTATAATTATTAATTATTAATACATTGATGATGACTATGCAGTTTTTTTTGGTAATTTATTAATAGTATTATTATTTTTTGATTTACTATATAATAGTTATTGTAGTAAAAAAAATTTGATCTAAAAGTTATTGAATTTAACATATTATTTGTAATGTCAACAACAACAACAACAAAATTTCTCAAAATTTTTATATCAATTGTTTTGATAGATTTTAATTTAATATCTAACTACAAAATACAATAATAATTATATATTTGAAAGTAGGTGTACTAAATAAATCGATAGGTTAGCTATTTAGTTAAAATGATAGAAACATTATTATTATTTTTCTCTACAATTTATATTGTAATATAAATTATTAATGAAAAGTAAAAAAAATGATTTTTTTAAGAGAGAGAGAGAGAGAGAGAGAGAGAGAGAGAAATATAAAATAATAAAATACACTGTTATATAAATATTAGTTTATGATAATAAATTTTGAACAGTGAAAAAACTAAAATAATTTATTGCATTTGATTTAATAATTTTGGGCACTCATTGCATAAATTATATTTGGGTTAATGAGCTCTACTGTTAAAATATATTAATATAATACAGAATATATATATACAGTATTTGAATATATATTTATATTTATAAGTCTAATGAAAATTCATGCAAATCTCGATATTATATATATATATACTGTAAATGTAGTGAAAATATATAACAAAAAAATAATAAAATAAAACAGTTTTTGATATGTCATTTGCGTTTAAACTATAAGCGCCACTAATATGTTAGTCAAACCACATTTACAATAATATTTTATGTGATCTACTGGTAATAATATATGTATATTACAGTATATATATAATGTATATATATATACCACTTGTATTGAGACATTACTTTTTTAAAATATATATATATATAATTCACACATAAAGTGCTCAAACATTTAATGGCATTTATATTCATCATTACTACAGAATATATGTACGATATATATATATATATATATATATATATATATATATTATATAACTTTTTTATGTATGTGTTTAACGTAGTGTTGAAAAAAATGTGTTAAAAAATGTCAACAAAAAAAACAGTTTTTATTTTTAGTGTAATTACCGGTCACTTCCAAAACCTTCTGTCCCTCTGCGGTCACAAAAGACGGCGCTTCGGCCGATACCTCACATCTATATATATATATACAGACACACAAAAAATGACAGAAAATTATTTATATATAATTATATTTAATAATAATAATTATAAAAAAATATTTATATATAAATTATATTTGTTTTATAAACGATTGCTACCAATACCTATAGAGACCGGCTGTATGGATGTCGACCTGTTTGAGAAACACCGAGTTTTTACCACTTCTCGATAGCTGTTTGGTTGAGTAAACATCACAAAAAATAGTTTAGTTTTAATTTTTGTTTTTAAAATAAATAAATATATTTTACAATATTTTAAGCTATATACTGTATATAAAGATAATGCCAATTAAAATTTTAAATTTGAGTAATATCATATACAGTTAACTTTACTTGCTAAGCAAGATAACTTAGTATACAGTTATATTATATTAGGTAAGTTATATACAGTACCTTGCTAAAGCATTATGAAATATTACTCAAATTTAAACTTTTAAATGGCATAAACTGTATATTATGGTATATTTTTTAAAAAAATATACAATATATATATATATATATATATATTGTGTATATTATAAATAAATAATAAAATTGTTTAATAAGTAATAATACTTACATCGACTCTAATGCCGGGAATCGGTAGGAACTGTCCGGGCGGCCAATCCTTTAGTAATTTGGTTGCAAAAACAAACAAACAGACAAACAATTAGATAAAACAAACCATTTTTTAATGTTTGTATTTTTTTTGGGGTTTTGCTTTTTGACTTTTATTTAATTAACTAATATATTTATTACAACCAAACATTAATACATTTAACATATTATATTATATCATATTATATATTATTAGCTCTCATACATACCTTTGGGACATATCTTGAGATTTATTAGTAGCCATGAGTTGTAGGGTTGTAATTGAAAAGTAAAATACGGTATTATTTATTATATATATATATATATATAATGTAGTTTATATATATATATAACAGTAATTATTAATTAGATTAATAACAAAAATAAACAAATATTATATTTAATAAATGTTAATGTATTTGCAGTAGTAGTTTACAGTGTAAACCAAATGTATATATGTTATAGCATAAGCTAACCTAACCTTAACTATTGCTTTAGTTGATTAAACAAAAATTGTTTTTTGAATTTATTATTTACAGGTATACTGTATTACAGCTCTATTATTACTACTGGTATTATTTTAACAAAATTGTTATTTTTGGTTAAATTTATTAAATATAAATATCATAATTATATTATTTTAACCTATAATATTTTTCATAAAATGTTTACTTTTTTATTTTGGGTAAAATAATGTTGCTAAAATTTTTTAATAATTAATAATGATTAAAAATATGTTTACTTCTAAATTAATGTATAAATACAAATATATTAACTTAATAATTGAATGATTATATTATTTATTATAGTTTTCAAAAATAATTATCAAGTTTATACTAAATATAGTATATTAAGTATTATGTAATCTATAAAAATTATTACAATTATTTATGACTATCTATAATTGAATTTATATTTTATTATAATTAATTATAATTACTACATGTAACATATATATATATATAGAAATTATATACTGTATATATCTATGTCTAATATAATACTGAAAATTTAATTTTAATTTTTAAAAAAAATTATTCAATTCATTTACTTACCGATAAAATTCGACATCATTTTTATACCTAAAAAAATAGTTATTAGAGAAATGGGAAAATAAAATAAACAAAAATTAGTCAACATTTTATTTTTTTTAAAAAACAAATAACAAACAATATTCACAAAATCCATTAATAATGCACTTATAATATATTAATAATTAAAAAAAAAAATTATAAATAAAGCAAAAAATAGATATCAATTTAAATATTAATATATATTTTTTTTATTATAAGTCAAGTGAACTTAAATTATTGACTGTATATATAAGCTGTATATATATATATATATATATATATATATATATGTACAGTATATTAATATTGTATAATATCATCTATCTATTAATGGACATACCATTTAACTGAGTATAGTCTATCATCACCCAGGTCGTATGAGCATGTTAATTCAACTGATTCGCCCACGTATGATGGGGACGGCACGTCCAGCATAATCAGCCTCAATGATACTACACTATGAGCTAAATAAAACATAATACATGAAAAAAATTACATTGATAATAATAATAATAAATTTAAGTATACTGGTGTGTATATTAATAGTATATGAAATATAATTATTAATTTTATAGTTAATTATTAGTTAATATTATCATTTTTTTACATTGTGTATACTATTATATTACACGTGTCTGTATAATGTAAAACAAACAAACAAAATAATGTGAAACTAATGACTAAAAGTAGAAATTATATATATTTTTAAAAAAATATATTTTTATTTTATATATATTTTATATTGACTTTATCTCCTTAAAAAAGGCTTTTATAAGATTAAGTTGTTTGTAATAAAATTTATGTATTTTTTGAAATTAATTATTTTCTCTCTCTCTCTCTCTCTCTCTCTCTCTCTCTCTCTCTCTCTCTCTAGCAATAGTGTAAAACTGAAAATATTTATATATATAAAAAATGCAAATTTTTCAATACATCATCAAATCATAGATAAGTGTTTAGAGAGTTTGGGATTTGTAATGCATTTATCATATATTTTATATATACTGTATATAAGATTTTTTTTTATTTGAATTTCTTTTTTTACACAAATATATATATAAAAGATTTTATAAGAAAATTGATTTGTAGACAACTTATGGTTAATCTTTCAAAAATAAATCTTTTTTAATGTCTTTATTAATATTGTTATTTTATATATATATTGTATACTTATATTAAAAATTTATTTTTTATATAAAATTATTATAGTTTTTATCAATAATAATTATTTTATTTTTAAATTTTTAAAAATTATTACTAATATTAATGTTGACTTTAATTAATTGAAATTGAATAATATACTTAATAATAAACTATATATATTGTGTATGCTGTATATATTATACAATATAATCAATATTTATATTAAATATAAAAATAAAATTTATAATAAATTATCATATGTTTACATAAATTTAATATACTATTTATGGTTATATATATACTGTATAATTAATTTATAGCATAACTTATCGTTGGCTTAGTATTATATAAAAAAAATTTGATTACTTTATCTCAAAAATTAATTTTATTAATTTAATAAATCTAGAAAATTAACACCTTGTTTAAAATTTAACAATTATAATATATAAGTTAATTAAATTATTTCTAATTTATAAATTTTGTAGATTACTATTAAAGATTATAAACTATTTTTTAAAAACAAAATAACTGATTAATAGATATGTTTACTATATATATATATATATATAAAGTATTGAAGGTATTTAATTATATTTTTTGTGGAAACTAATGGCAAAAATTAATTAAAATAATTTTTTAAAAAAATACATTTTATAATAAATAATAATAATAAATAAAAACTTACCAAATATGAGCAGAAATAGTAGAAATAATAAGTAAAACATAGTTTTTTTTCAATTATATGGTTTTGTCAACACAACAATAGACGAGTGATCGGAAATTTGATACATTCGGCTGATAACGACATCATTTTGCCAGCACTGGTAGCTGAACAACACCAACACAACAGCAGCACAGGGATAGACACAACACCGTAGACAACGATGACGACGACAACTGTGCCGACAATAATGGCATTCCCTTTAAATCTCTAAGTTTTTTGAGAGAAAAAAATATATATATTATATAAAAAATGTTAAAAGTTTTGCATTAAAGTATGCATTTTTCAAGATTATGGCTATACTATTGAAAATAGCATTTATTTATTTATATATATTTATTTATATTATATTTATATATATATACAATCAATTTATAGGTAGATAAATAATCTGTAAAATAGAGAGAGAGAGAGAGAAAAAAAGAGAGAGAAAAAAGATGTCCTATTGTTGGCAAACGTAAGAAAAAAAGTTTTCAAACAAATAAAAGGTCTCCAAAAAAAATAACAAAAAAACTAGTTTTTATTGTAAAAGATTGATGTATTTGTGGCCCAAATAGTCGTCTACTCAATCCTTTAAGATTTATTTTGGGCACTCAATAGTGGTGTTTGTGTTTCAAAAAACTTTTTTATTTTTTTTTTATTTGGCGATCAAAATGAATAAAAAGCGTATCTTTTATATTATGCGTGTTATATGTATAAAGAAAATAAACTATTGCCTAAAGAGTCAAATATATATATATATAAATAATTTTTTTTGGGGCCAAAAGTTTAACCGTATGTTTATTTCGGTATAATATAAATGTTTTTTTTGTGTGTCTAATGAATGATATGTACTATGTTTTGTGTATATATATATATATAAATTTATATACAATACATACACACAAAATAGATAGATAGAGAAAAAAAATCACAATTTTTGTTACTACTATTTAATATATTTAATGTATAAAATATATATATACAGTATACACACAATGATAATGTATATAAACATATATTTTATGTGTGCGTGCGATATACCCGTGTGTTTGTATTGATTCAAACAAATAATAAAAAAATAGTAAAATATATTTTTATTTCTATTGAGAATAATATAACTTTTTTTTTTGAACAAAAAAACAGATTCTATAATTCAATTGTAAAGAATTTAAGAATATTCTGTTATAATATTATACTTAAAATCTTATATACTTAGTATTATATATATATATATTTATGATATTATATATCTCTATATTTTATTATTTTAATATAAATTCATTTTCAATATTATTATTATTATTACTAGTATTAATAATATTATCATAAATAATTTAATGTTACTATTGATTATTTATATATTCATTATCTTAATTCAGATACTGATTTATATGTATCAAATGACCTCAATTATTATTATTGTAATAATAATAATGTATATGATATCAATTGATTGATTGATTTGATTTGTTGATTATTATTATTATTATTTGCAAATGACATGCATTTCATTAATATTTTTTATCTAAATAATAGATAATATATATATATATATATATACTGTATATTTTATTCTATGTGTTATAACATTTAAATATTATATAATAAAAATAAAATTATTAAAAACATTATCTAATTAATAAATACAAAAGTTATAATAATAATAATAACAATAATAATGATGTTATTTCTATACAATTATTGAAATTACTGTACATTATATTTGATTGTGAAATAGCTATGTAATGCAGTGAAGCGTCATTTAAGGAGATACTGTATTAAATATAAAACTACAGTTTTATTATAAAAATATTTATTAAAATTAGATAAACTATTATAGTATTTGCTATGTTTTTGTTAAACTGTAATTGAAATAACAATATATACAGTATTTATAATTTATAACAAATATTTATAGCATACTATTTTAAATAATACAAATATTAATAATAATCTATATTTATTATATTATATTTTTGTTATCTACTCTTTTTGCTCTAAAAAACATTTAAACATTTAGCCAAATAAAATAAAATAACTATACAATGCATAAATATAATACCAAAAAATATGAATTAAGTTATTATTATTGTATTATTATTATTATTATTTAATATAAATATGTTTAAATACAAATTAGTTTACTATAGGGATTGAAAATTATTATTTAAAAAAATGTTTTATATTACTGTATTTGAAATACTATTTCAAATACTAAGCGTAGAGTTAAGTTAATTTTGAATAATTTGAAGAAAAAAAATTTAATAATAATTTATTTAATGAATAATTTTTCACACAACAAATGGCAGTCAACAAAAAAATAAATAAACTTTTTATTTTAGTCAAAATAATTTTATTTTTAAATCCTTCAAATATATATATATATAATAAATATATATTTATATACAATATATATATATATATAGTATATATAAAATTTTGGAGTCATTTCTGTAAAATTCATTCACAAAACTCATCCATCAAAACACAAACCAAAAAAAGTCAAAGTCGTTGAATGAATTCAATATTTTTTTTATATATATGCAATGCATTGCTTTACTATACAATAGTTATTATACACTGTATATACTGTACACTGTGTTTGTGTATAACAAAAATAAATATAAGTGAAGTTCAATAAAATGAAAATCCAAACAAATCTATTGTTTTTTTTTTTTTGCTTTTAAGTTTTTATTTTGATTTTTTCTTAGTTTAATTTGTTTAGGTTTTATATATATATATATATATATATACTGTTATTAATAAATAAAATGCAATTCAAATATAAATAATTCACTGCTTGAATGATTTTATGAGAAGCTTAATATATTAGATTTTTATAACTTATAAAATATACTGTATATTATTATTTTTAGTTATTTTTGTTGTTGTTGGTGGTATTAAATCAAAAATAATATATATATATATATATATAGTTTATAATATATATATAAAGTTTAAGATTTTTGTATTTTATTCTATATATATATATAAATCTTTAATTTTATTTGTTGCATTTAAATTGCCTATTTAATTTAATTTTGCACAAAAAAATAAATAATACAATTTATTTTTATAAATAATTTTTCAAATTTATTATAGTTTGTCCCTGTATCAATTTATTATTATTATATTTTATTTTCAACTAAATAAAATTGAAATATATAAAAAATAAATGATAGATGGGCCAGACTTTTGTTTCAATAAGACAATCAAATCAAAAAATACATACTATTTCTATGAAATATAATGTACTGTATATTCACTTAATATATATATATATATATATATATATATATATATAGTATATGTTTATTATATGAAATGATATATCTATACTAATAATAGATAAGTAGATTATATGAATGCCTTACATAATATATTATTTATGTATAGCGTGTGTGTGTGTGTGTTTGGACTCAAATATTGTTATCCCAGTGTCCACACCAGTCATAAACAATTTAAAGCTCTATCGCTTTTCAAACACCATTATATATATATTATATTATAAAAAATAATATATATATGTGTGTGAAACTTATATTTCTGCTATTATGACACCCCTTGAAAGCTATTAAAAATTATAGCCTACATGTGCTCTCTCTCTCTCTCTCTCTCTCTCTCTCTCTCTCTCTCTCTCTCTATTCCTCTTAAATCAGTGTATTTTGGATCATATGATATAATACTCTACTCTAAGGAGAATCATATGTCGATTTATACTCTAAAACTAAAAGTATTATTAATCCATAGGATAGGAAAAAAACGTAAGTTTGTTATATATTAGTTAGTTTGTTAATGCAAACTAAGTTTGTTTTTTTTATCAAATAAAATCATATATATAAATTTTTTCCCCAACAAAAAAAAAATAGTATTACTAGAAATCAATTCAATCTCCGCTTGGGATTCACTTTCATAGCAATAAAATATATTTGACTAAAAAATAATATATTATGAAATATATATATGTATACGATATATGTATACCATATATATAAATGGATTTATAAGTAATGCACACATAGGCTATAATCCTCAAAAAAAACTAAGGGCTATAGTGAGGACTAGTAGTAGTTTTTTTTAATGTAAACGCTTTTATGATTTATGTTTTTCATGCGAGACATCACATGTATATATATAAACATATGAGTGTTTGTTAGGCCTTAAAAAACTAATATGTGTACCCAACAACAAAAAAATCCAACGGTGCTATCATATGGGCCAACAATGTGTGAGCGTATGTTACTGTGTATAAAACTTTCATATATGGCTAAAGTTTTTTTTATTAAAAAAAACTATTTCAAACTATTTTTTCAATTTCAATATATATATATATAATATATATTTACACAATCAAAACTTCTAATATTATTATAAATTATTATTTATGATATATATACAGTATATTACATATTAGTATTGTGTGAATATGTTATAAGAGCTTATATATTATTTATTGAATAACTCATTTATTTTGACTATAAAAACAATACCTCTCATCCATGAGATATTCATATATATATATATAATATGTATATACAGTAAATATTAGATATAAAAGAGAGATAACTTGAAATGATATGTACAGTCAATAAAGCTGTATATAATTTATATATATATATACAAAGAATATTTAATATTAATATTAATATATCAATATATATTATTACATAAATAAATATCCTATCATTATTAGATTTATCGTTATTTTTTTTGTTGCAATATTAATTCAAAACACACAAAAAAACTGCAATATATATATAACAGTGTTATACACTTTATTATTAATATTATTATATTGTGAAGTTATAATTAAAACAATTTATGATTTTAATGTTGCGATTAGTTTTATTTTTATTTTATTATTATTTTTTTTGTTTTGTGCTGAGACTAGCATTGAATAAATTGATTGGAAACAATATATGTATATATACAGTATAAATTGTATTTATATAGTTTTATATAAATATTACTAGACTCTGTCAACTGTGAAACAATAATAATAATTAGGGGCTATACCTATGCATACTAGCATAAAAAACTATATATATATAATATATATATATATATATAAATGTATATATAATAGTGATATTTATATGTTATAGAAATCAGATAAAGGCTTTAATAATTTATTGTCGACTCGAGTTTTATGTCAAATTCATGAGCTTTTTTTAGAGTCGATTATAATAGCAATAAGTATACTATAAGTATAAAGGCATTGTATATCT